TTACAAAGACACTTTTCAAAATCGCTTTCAAAAACACATTCCACAAACACTTCTTTGAATTATTTTCCAAAACAAACACTTTGTACGTGTTCTTATAGAAACGAGAATCGTTACCAAGTTACATTTTCAAAAAAACCACACAAAGCACAATTTCAAACAAAAGCAAGTGATCTAGCAAGAAACTAAGAGCCCATGGAAAACCATGGATGAAAAGGGTGCTAATACCTTCCCTTTTCATAATCTACCCCCCGAACTCAAGAAAACATCTCTAAAGGTCTTTCCTGTTCTTTTTAGCCTTTCCTTATTGGATAAAAGAAAAGTCGGTGCGACTCTTGCTAATCGTAACATTTGCGATAAAACGCAAAACCTTCAAGTCAGTTCTCCCACCGTATCTCAAGTACCAAAGAATATCCGAGTGAGAAAGTGACATAATCCTTTGCGACCAACCCAAACCTTGTTCGTTCTTCAATACTGATTGAGGAAGGTGCGAAATAAACCACCTAGACAGCAATTGCATATAACACATAAGAACCCCCATTCTCTTCATGGTACGAGTGTAAATGGAATGCAAGATATCTCCGAGAAAAGTAGGCACTGGGTTACGAGAGAGGAAAACCATGACAACATTCACATCTATGAGTACGTCTAGATTAGGGAACAATACTAACCCATAGATTAGAAGAGAGGGGACTTCTTCGAAAGCTTGGAAGTCCAAATCATTCCAAAAAAAATGAGCCATTTCTAATAGGAACTTAAATAGGAAACCCTTGACTCTGCTTCTTGTTTCCCAGTTGGATATAATGTTGGACTGTTTCAGATGCAAGGCTGCTGCAATGACCCCTGGCTTTGGAGCCTCCTCCAAACCGGTGAAAGGTATCTGATCAAGAATAGGTACACCCACTAATTGAGAGAACTCTTCCATGGTGGGTACCAACTGATAATCGGGAAATGTGAAGCAATGGTGTTTGGGGACAAAGAACTGAAAGAGTACACCCATCATCTTCTCATCAAAGCTTAAGGTAACTAGGTTGAGGAGTCGACCATATTCCTTAGTGAACGAGAAAGTCTTGGGAACCGTAGATACTAGCTCTTGTTGGAGAGGTATTTTCACAAAGCTGATTTGAATGGTATTTCTATGAAGAGAAGCCATGATCTGTAAAACAGAACAAAGATAAATTCCCTTGGTCCTTGAAATGGTTAGTAAAATGAATATGGATCTTATGATGCATGATGTTATGTTTGAACAATTTAATCACACACAAGCAAAACACACAAGACCTTAGGTTTAGGCTTGCATGGGGTTTATACGTAAGTACCCTCTTGAAGTTTAGTTGGTTCAACATGTCCTAGAAAAGTAACTGAGTTCTAAGGAGTCTCAATATAACTGATCTTTCTTTATCAGACATTGTTTCATCTCAGGCAATCTTTTCCCACAGCCAAAATATCCCGAAATTCCGATCTCAATGAGTGTAGTATCGAGTATCAACCAATCCTCAGCTTTATACCAAATCCGGCTATCTCACTACTTTTCTAATGGCCAAGTTTATTCAACTAAGGTTCTAGGGTCAGTTAATGCTTTATGACACCACACAGCGGCCCCGTATTCTCCTCAATTTAACACAAGAGATACCGGTACCAACAAATGTGTCACACTAATGCAGCCATCACTTTAACCATATCGGTCTACGCCGTACAGTCTCCACGATCTATTGTTGCATACCAAAAAGTGCCCCAGATCCGGGTATAGGATCTTTACAAGAATACCCAAACATAAACCTGAAATATAAAGCAAGAAAGTCAAATAGGTAAAGCATTTAAATGTGAACTATCTCTAAGGTAACCCCACTTGTAGTTCTCCCCAGCAGAGTCGCCAGTTCTGTAATACGATGGGGAACTGACTTTATTGGTTTTGCATTTTATCGCAAATGTTGCCGTTAGCAAGAGTCGTCACCGACTTTTATTTTATCCAACAAAGGAAAGGGTGAAAATAACAGGAAAGACCTTTCAAGATTATTTTCTGAGGGGGTAGGTTATAGAAAGGGAAGGTGTTAGAACCCTTTCCATCCGTAGTTATCTACAGGCTCTTAGTTGCTAGCTCATTTTTGAAAATGCTTTTTGGTGTAAGTGTGTTTTGATGATAATTTGAAAAGACGCTTTAGTATGGCGAACTTTGTAATGTTTCTCGTTTCGGCTAGAACGTATACAATTTTTTTTTCTTTTGAAAATATTTTAGAAAATAGTTTGTGTATGTGTGAGAAATTGTTTTGTTTGAGAAAGCAACTATGAGCTATCTACTTACTCGAAAGGTTTGTTCTTTTCCTCTTTACCTTTAGACAGTGCTATCCTACTATTAGTGAGTAGGTAGCCCTATCGTCGGATATTTTAAGGGACTAGAGAGGGTCATTGTACGTTCACAAAGGCAACTAGTAAGATATCTTAGTAATTATCCTAGGGTCTTAAGATCATTTTACCGAGGCAACTTCGAAAGGGTCATCGAGGGACTTATGATCTTTTAAACCAAAGGGTAGTCACTAAAATATTTTACATTCGAGAATCGTGACCGTTTATTTTTCTAAAGGCAACAAGTGGAGGTACCATAGAGGTGCGCATGTGCATGTGTGTTGTGTTTTAGTTTATTTATCTTCGGGTATTAAGTTTGCTTGCGTTTTCTTTTATCTTATCATACAAGCCTATTATGCATATATCTAACAGTTAATATCAGTGCAAATAAGAAAAATACAGAATTTAAAGCTACACTATTGCATGGCTTCTGGGAGGGGGAATTACAAATCCAAAAATGGGGAAAACAAAAAGTAAAAAGTCCTAAATTTAAACTATTACAACCTTTCTGAAAATACATCAATATAAAAATACGAAATTTAAAAATGGGCGCACGAATATTGAAAGCGAGGTAAACCCCAAAATACTTCTATATATATAGCATATTTTTGTTATTTTTATTAAGAAAATACTTAGATTAAGCTAAAACTAATCTTAATTAGATAACAAAATATTAATTTAAATTAAACCTAATTCTAATATTTTTTGTATTTTTTATTGAGAAAAAAGATGTGAAATGAATTAAACCTAGTTCTAATTGGTTTTAAATTAATCAAAAATAATTAAATAAAATAAATAATTAATTTATAAAAATTAAATTTAATTAAGAAAAACCTAAATCTATTTTTGATTTTTATTGTTAACAGAAAATTAATTTTTAAAAGTATATAAAAGAAAACAATTAATAAAAAAAGAAAAGAAGTAAAATTGCAATGGGCTTGGTGCAACAAGTAGACAGGGGGTGAGATCTTGGAATTTTGTTAGGTCCAATGAAGGCTAAGCCCAACAGCTGTGTGATACGGTGGGGAGAACTGACTTGGGATTTTGCGTTTTGTGTTCGCAAATGTTTCGGTTTAGCAAGAGTCGCCGCCGACTTTTTATTTTATCCTAAGGAAAGGTCAAAAAGCACAGAAAAGACCTTTGAGATGTTTTCTTTGGTTCGGGGAGTAGATTATGAAAAGGGAAGGTGCAAGCACCCTTTTCATCCATGGTTATCCATGGGCTCTTAGTACTTGTTTAGATCACTTGCTTTTTCTTTTCAATTGTTTGAAATGGTGCTTTGTGTGTGGTTTTGAAAGATGTTTTGAAAAGAGGCCATCATTGTGGCAACCTTTGTAATGATTCTTGTTTGAATGTATACAAAGGTGTTTTTGTCTTTTGAAAATATTTCAATGTTTGAAAGTTTGATTTGGGAAATGTTTTGAAATTGTGTTGTGAAGTGTATTTGAAAAATAGAAAGGATGTTTTACAAGTTTTTGATCAAGTAACTAAGAGCTATCTACCCTAATTTACTCAAAGATCTTTCCTAATGTTTTTAACCCTTTTGACAGTGTTATTTCACCATTGCATTTGGTGAACAACCTTGTGTTAGGATGTTAAACGGGACAGACGCAGGTCATCGTATAGACCATGATAGCAATTGTGTCAAGTATTTTTGGCCAATTTTTGAGGGACATGATCATTTTTGTTTAGGCAACCAAGATAGCATCATCGAGGGACTATGATCTTTTGTTTTGTTTTTGTTTTGCCAAAGTATCCAACATGCATATCATGGCCCATTTTTTAGACAACAAGTGGATGGTAACCCTAGGGGTGCAAGTGTGTATTGTGTTTGGTTTTCATGCATTTTGTCTTTGATTAGGTCAAGCTACTTGTTGATTTGGATTTTTTGCATACAAACCCTAATTCTCTAACCATGGCATAATTGAAAGCGTAAAGTGCGAGAATTTAAAAGTCTAAGCTATTACAACATGATTATGGGGATGGGGGTACAATCTTTGAATGAGGGTGTATTTGACAAGAAATATAAACCCTAGTTTACTATTACATCCAAATTGAACTCAAATGCATAAATAATAAATGGATAATATTTAAATGAACAAAAATAAAAATATATATCAAATAATATGAATTATGCAAAAAAAGGTTTTTATTTATTTATGCATGTAAAAATATTTAATGTAAAAATAAAGAAACAAATAAAAGATTTATTTTATTTGGTTAAAGGGTAAAACCCTAATTTTCTTTAAGAAAATAAATATGTTAATTAATTTATTTATATACAATAAAAATAAAATATTATATGTAAAAAAAAGTAAAAAAGGTATTTATTAAGTATATTTAATAATAAAAATAAAAGTGTAATATTTTATATTTTTATTCTAAAATGTTTAATAAAATAAATATATATATATATATATATATATATATATATATATATATATATATATATATATATATATATATTAT